ATGTGGCTCAAAATCAAAATAAATAAATATTGTTGGAGTGAATTGGAAGAAATTCCTCTTCTAAAATCAAAAGATGATTCTACTTAATGCAAATGAATCATCCTCCTTCATATTTAAATATAAGTGTGGTTGTATACAGAAGAATGTGGTTAAACAAAGACCTGGGAGTCATGTGGATACTGTGAAGACATTTCACTGACTTGCACTATTTACAGTGTAAGAGCAGCGGGGTCCAGCAGTGATGTGGGTTCGCTCTAGCTAGAGGCAGAGTTCAGGTTCAAAGCCACCTTCTAGCTATCTACCTTGGACAAGATTTAACTTCTCTGTGTATCTTTTTAGTCACTAGGTTGTCATGATGATTAATGAAATAATATAAAACTCTGAGCCTGGCACAGCGATAGAACAAACAGATACTGCATATTGTAAGTATTTGCTGAGTCTTCCCTTTCTGGGTAGCAGAAGACAAAGCCTTCTTCAAAAATGTATTTTAATGTGTTGACAATACTAAACACATAAAGCACATACTGAGCCCCTGCCTCTCCTCTAACCATTTTACACATAACAACCTGGTTAAGCTAAGACTTTAATATTATCATTCCCTACCTTTCTAACAGAGTCAATTTGGCCAGAGTTATGTTTTCAATGTTTATGTAATTTCTTTCCTCAAAAGAAATACTTCAAACACCAAGGTGACAAAGTCTAAGTGCTGTCCAATACTGCTAATCAACTACTCTGAGATAAAGGCAATTAAATAGCTAACAACTTGCTGGCTTAGGTGTAACAAAAAGACTCAGATATGATGTAAGTTTTACTTCACTCAATGTCAAAAGTTTCACTCCACCTGTATCGAAAGTTTTTTTATGATGTAGACTAAAGTTGATGCTATACGCTCATCTCAAAAGACATTCTAGTTTTACAAAAACTAGATCCACACTTTACTATTATTATTGTTATTACTATTATTGTTAGCTTGCTTTTTATGGCCATGCCAGGGCGGTCCTCAGGGATCACTCCGGGTGGGACTCCCAGAACTGTAAATGGTGTTAAGGATCAAATTCACAGGCCCTACTGGCTGACTAGCTATCAGACCCTAGATGCATACTTTAAGCCACTGAGCAGAACTCACTTTTATCTAAATATAAAGTTATACTGAAGAAGGGTGAGAAATAGCTATATACAATATGATCTGATTCATTTTCATAATATACTCATATTCTAAAAATACAGAATCTAAGTTATATTACGAAAATACAAAATATTTTCCAGTTGCCTATGATCATGTCAAATGTTTACCTCAAGCACTTCCTAATATTATACATCTAAAAACTACAACATATTGAAAGTCTCATATCTCAAGAACTCAAATTATGTTTAACTTTCAAAACACAACTTTTTCTTTAAAAGCAGCTATTACCAAACATGCTAGTATTTTAGGTCAATTTTAAAAGTTAGCCAAAGGTTACTTAATATTTGGGGGGAAAAAAAATTTTCCGTCCCCTCTCCTTGCTTCTCATTTTAAAGGAAAAAAGGAAAAAAGTTGCAATACAATCGCAACTCAGAAAAGTTCTACAAATAGTCCAGTAGTATCAACCCTGAAAAAATGAGTTGGTTCTGCCTTGAACTTGCACAAGAATTTAATGAAAACTTACGCTACGCTCTAGCTTTTTTATTCTACCCTCATCCTCATCAGAAGCCTTCTAAAAAACCAACTTGAAAGATGTTCTCGGCATGACAGTAAACGCGCACTTAGTGGAAGGAAAACAACCATTACATCCTGCTAAGCCTTAAATGTATGAGTTCACGTTCACCGCTCGCAAGGTCTGTGCAGCTGCTCTCCACCCCGGCCCTCGTCAATTCCTCCAGGAAGTGGCCCCCAAGGCCCACCGCCAGCCTGCAGGTTGTGATCAATTCCGATCAATTCCACTTCTCCATTGCAGGTCAGTCGCCACCGCACGTTTGCCAAAGGAGTGGGCAGGTTTGCGCGACGCCCCCGTCGCCGCACCGACCTGCACTTCAATCTCAGCGACAACTGCCCCCCCCCCCCACCCTCCACATTCACCTAAGGCCATTCCCGTCCTTTTTTTTTTCTTCTTTTTTTTTTCCCCTCGAGGCCGAGCTTATTCTTCCAGGCTCTGCGGGCTAGCCTCAGCTCTGAGCAGCAAACCTCCAGTGAGGGCTGGACAAGCACCCGCACACCCGGCCAACTCTGCTGCCTGTCACCCCGGGCAGGAAGCGCAACCTAACTAACGTGCAGACGTCTGTCGGGGTGGGGTGGGTGTGTGGAGACAGAGCGCTGGGGGCGGGGGGAGCGGCGCGGAGCGGCAGGGAGAAGTGGCTCCAGTTAAAAAAAAAAAAACAACAACTTGCAACTTCCAGCACAAGTTCCAGGAGCGCTGGGGAACAAAACAAACCCGCGCTCCCAGCTCCGCTCGGCCCAAGCGCGGGAACCTCCCCGCCTCCCCGGAGCGCACCTTGTGCTCCGCGGCCACCGGCGCACCCGCAACGCTCCACGTTTCGAACTCCCCGCCCTCCCGGGGTGGGGTTGGGGGGGGGGAACGGCCGAGGAACGCCGAGAGGGTCGCGCCGATCCCGCTGCCGAGACCCTCCCGGCCGGTCCCTCCCCGTCCCGTCAGCCTGACGAGCCGGGTCCGCCGTCGGGCTGCCGAGGGGTTCACCTGAGGCCGCCGGGGCAGTCGAGACCGAGTCACCTCAGCCCCCCGCCGCGGCGCGACACCCGGGGAGGGTCGCCGCCGTCCGGCCCGCGGGGCGGGAGGGGCGGGACGCCGCCGCCTACCCTCCCCTCAGGATTACCTTTGCGCTCGCCGCCGGCTTTGTGCTTCCCTCCTCGGCCGCGGTCGCCGGGGCTGCAGCGGCCGCCCGCTCCGCTCCGCTCCGCCGCCGCCGCCGCCGCCGCCTCTTAAGCGCCGGACCGAGCCGGAGGGGAGGAGGGGTGAGACCCCGGCCCCAGCCCTGGCTGGCAGGAAGCGGCGACACCTGGATCGCCACCGACGCCACTTCTCGCTCTCCCAAATCTAACTGCGAGCCCCTTCCTTCCCCTCCCGCCCCTGGCCCCGGCGACCGTTAAGGGCTGGCGGCTCGCGCTCTGGCGGGACTGGCCGAGCGCCCCCCAGAGCGTGCCCTGGCCCCGCCCCAGGCCCCGCCCCCAGGCCCCCTAGCGCCCTTGGCCCCGCCCTCCGCGGGCCCGCCCCGCGTCGCCCCCAAGCGCCCCAGGCCCCGCCCCGCGGGCCCCCGGGCGTCCCGGCCCCGCCCCTCAGGATCACAGGACGTCCCTGGCCACGCCCCCCGGGAGCCCCGCCCCGCGACGCCCGCTTTCCCGCTGGCTCCGCCCCGAGCGCCCCTCCAGCGCCTCGGCTCCGCCCCCGGCAGCCCCCTTCCTGCCCGCTAGCGCCGAGTCTGCGAAACGGCCGCACCGGGGGTCCTCCGGCGAGCCAGGCCTGCGGCGGCCGCAGAGTTCTCCGCAGGCGGCGCCGCTCGGATCCGCAGCGTTCCCGAAGGGTGGGAGGGCGGAACGCCCCTGACGGAAACCCGACCGAGAGGGGGGGTGGGGGGGTGGAGGCGCACCTCGCAAAGGTCTCCCTCCCGCCCGAACCTGAGCGACCCCCCCACCCCAACCCCAACCCCGGCCCCCCACTTCCGAGGCCGAGCCGCAGCTTTCCAGAGCCGGCCTCTGCAGCCCACTCTCGCGGCTGGATCTTCAGGGCCGGCGGCGGCGGCGGCTGAGGCTCGGTCTTTACACGCCCCCCCACTTAGGAGGGGCCTGGATTTTCTTGCCAGCACATTTGCCTGCGGGGCTGCCTCCTCCCCCCCACCACTCACTTCCAGGGAGGGGCTGGAATTCGAGCCTACTCTGCTACGACCCACCGAGGGTCCTCGGCCCCCCACTTTCGCCCAGAGCATGTGACCTCCTAAGAAGAGCTGATCGCCTGGAGTGGGAAGCCCGTGGCCCCGCCAGCCTTTACATTGGAGCCGGGGCCGGGCAAACTCCGGCACGCAATTGCAGAAATGTGGCTCCATCCACAGGTGACACTGGGCGCCCACCGTCGCCGCCCAAACACGTTTCTCATCCCAGCCTCCGCTCGAAATAGACCGCCGGGCAACGCACGCCTTTCTCTGCCACCCACGACTTGCACATCCCTCCCGCACATGGGCACGGATCCACTCACAAGCACACTCTTCCAAGCGCCATTCTGGTTATTCAAGTCCCTTGAGTCCACCCCACCCTTGACACACACACAACAAACTTCATTCCCCACCCTTATCTCCCTGCATTTCCAAGGCTCCAGACCTCTCCATTTCCTTCCCCGGCTGCAGGCTCTTCTCTTCCCCCTCCGATACTTCTCACACACCCCACCTTCATCCCCTCCCCTCCCTCTTCGCTAAAAATGTGCTAATTAAAATGTAGTTCCCCCTTCCCACATATAAAGTGTGGAAAATGAATCTTGCCTTGGCCCAAACCAAGCGATTCATGTATCCTGGTTTTCTCTCTGCACTGGACTAAGGCTATAGAATTTTTTTGGTCTACCACCATCTCCCATCTGCTCAAAATCTACCTATGCCTGCTGGCTTTTAGAGGATCAGGCATGGGGAAGGTTTGCTGGCTTGGAGGAAAAAATATTTTGAAAATGCTCAGGCTGTCATTTTATTTGACATTTGAAAATAGCTGCAGCATTTGAGAGATATTGGGAGTGGCTGAAATGTTTTCTTGCCTTTTAAAACCGAGAGAGGAAAAATAAAAGAAGAAAAAAAAGAGAAAGCAAAGCTTCTGCATGTGGAAAGGATAGCGTTTTCATCATTAACAACAACCCAAAAGTACGTTAAGGGCACACATTAGACAATAGTCAAATAGGCATCCGCCAGTCCCAAATTTAGACCCCCTCAAAGGAAGACACATTAGCATAATCCATTTTAAGCATGTCTGGAGAGCAATCATTCCCTTTGGCACAGTTTCTGGGCGGAATGGATAAAAAAGATCTGCTCACCTTCTGAGGATCGAAGGCTTTCTGGTGTTCCAGGGTGGTAGGTGATGTGGGTCTTCGCTGTTCTGGAGGTGTGGATTCTGCAGTGCTGCACAGAAACCCACTGCAGCCTCTGACCGGTGGCGGCGGCGGCGGCGGTGGCGGAGGCAGCAGCAGCCGCAGCCGCAGAAGCAGTTTCTCCCAGTGCTGAGTAGTAAAGTGTGTGACTTGGTGGAGACTCCACAATTACCATTAGGCGCTTGCTGCTCAGAGGGGAGGCGGAATCTTTCTTAAAGGAGTGGGTTTTGTTTTTCTCCTCCGCCCTAGCTTCCTAAGAGACAGAAAGGGTGGAAGCAGCGAGTGTTTTTGGACCGAGGAAAGCAGTACAGCTGTGGGAGGTCAAGGTTAAAATTAACTGGGCGATCGAGGGAGTGATTTAGTGTGAGTCAATGAAATGCTTGGGAGCATCAGTTTTAAAGAGCCCTGTCTTCACTTCAAACATTGGGGTTCGTGGAAAAGACCAACGTGCCTTGAAACGAGTTAGGATTTTGGGCTTCTATTTAATTTCCAGTCATTGCACTAAAGTGATGACTATATAGGACTAGTTTTATTTAGTATTTAATATAAGAATGCGGAAGGAATAATAAGACTCATTTATATGACTTGGAACAACGAAGTCAGGTCTTCCCATCTTAAAAGCGTGCCTGGAATTTCAATGAATGTCAATGTTAGAAAATATATTATTAACAGAACATTAGGAAAACCAAAGTGTAATTTATAGAAACAACAGAAAGTAAGATATCTAAAGGGATTTTAGAAAAGTATTATGCTATTTTAGTGGCAGCTCAGAAGTCAGCAAAAGTAAAAAGTGAATAATTAGACGTGGGGCCCAGGCAATAGCACAGCCAGTAGGGCTCTTGATATGCACGCTGTGGACCTGAGTTCTACTCCTGACATATCCCATATGGTCATCAAAGTCCACCAGGACAGATCCCTGAGCACAGAGTCAGGAGTAAATCCTTATCCTGGGTGTGACCCAAAAACCTAAAAAAAAAAAAAGGCGGTGGTGGGGAGAGAAAGAAATGAATTAAGGAGAGTAAGCTACATTAAATGCATGTGAATCTACTACTTAGACCATTAAGATATGTCCACACATGAGCAACTTAAGAGTCTGCATTATAGCTTTAATTTTATTATGAGGGTTGGGGGAAACACCCAACAGTAGTGCTCTGGGGACAATGAGGTGCCAGGTTGAACCCCAGGCTCTCATATGCAAAGATGAGCCATCTGCCTGACAATGAGTTTGTTTAAAAAATAATATTCCTCATGGGGCCAGAATGATAGAACAGTGGGTAAGGCATTTGCCTTATATGTGGTCAACCTGGGTTCCACCTCTGGCACCCTATATGAGCCCCTGAGCTCAGAGCCAGGAGTAAGCCCTAAGCATTGCTGGGTGTGGCCCCAAAACAAAACAAAAATTCCTTAATTTAAAAAAATGAATATGATTTTTTAAGGATCATATTTTGTTTGTCTTTTTTATTTATTTTGTTTTGTGTGGTGTCAGAAATCGAACCCAGTGCCTTACACATGCAAGGCAAGTACCCTTTGGCTGAGTCACATCCCTGACCCCATATGATTTCTTTTTCTTTCCTTGTTTAAAATTTTGTATTGAGACACCATAAATAACACAGTTATTCCTAGTTGAGTTTCAGGCATACAATCTTCCAACACCAATCCTATCACCAGTGCCAACTTTCCCTAACCCCCCCCAATCCCCCGGAATGTCCCCAAGTTCCCTCCCAACCACCAGGCTGCCTCTTTGACAGGCACATTTTTAAGTTTTGAGTGTTGTAGTTAGGATCTCATACTTTTGTTTTGTTGGTCTTATGGTTGTGATACACAGATAGAATACACCTCTACACTGCCAATGTGTCTGAGACCCTGCCCCTTACTCCTGTTGCCTCTGCTTTACCTCTTCTCACGTGACCCCTCATGTTAAGCAAAATGAGTCAGAAGAAAGACAAATACCAGATGCTTTCATTTATCTGTGGTAATAGAATAGCAGGACAGGGGAATGTGAGGTATCAAAGGGAAGATATCTAGATTACCCTAGAGCTTAGCATATAAAACTGAGAAGGAGAGGAAAGGAAAGAAACTGAGAGGGGTGATTTTTTCCTTTGTGGATAAATGAAGTGGTATGTTACCAATCTGTGACTAGAGAAAGATACAGAAGATATTCTGCAACTGACTTGCTTTGAACAGCCTTTGTTAATACATGATGTTTTTGTCAGTAAGTTACCCTATTTGGCCCTTAAATTCCCCGTTTTCTAAAACTAGGATGTGGAATTGAAACTTTCCTGGAATATCCAAAGTATCATGATTTTATGACACTTATACATTTCTATTTTTTGCTATATAATGGATGTACTGTAAATTATTTGTTCTGAGAACTTGAAATAAAAATAAATCTGCATTGGCACTCTGCTCTAGGTCTCCTGCATGCCAATTCTGGGTGTGGAATCTCTTTCCAGCGCTCCACCCTGGGTGCCCATGTCCTTCTTTGGGCACAAATTTCCTTTACTTTGGCCATCTCTACTTTTCTTTTTTTTTTCTCTGGAGAATCCCAAATTCTCATTAGAATTAATATTCTCTCAATTAAATTAATTTAATTATTTTTTTTAAAAAGACCTTATTTTGGAGCCAGAGCAATAGCACAGTGGGTAGGGTGTTTCTCCTATATGCAGCCAACCAAGGTTTGATCTCCAGCATCCCCTATGATTCCCCTAAGCACCACCAGGAATGGTCCCTGAGTGCAGAGATGGAGTAACCTCTGAATAACCCTTCTCCCACAACTTTTTTTTTCTTTTTGGGTCACACTTGGTGGTGCTCAGGGGTTATTCCTGGCTTTGCACTCCGAAATCACTTCTGGCGGTGCTCAGGGAACCATATGGGATGCTGGGAATCGAACCTGTGTTGGCCAGGTGACACCCATCAAAGCTTAGGACTTAGTCCTGTCTCTGCGCTCAGGGCTCAGGGCTCAGGGGAACCATTTGAGGTGCTAAAGATCAAACCTGGGTCAGCCATGTGCAAGCAAGTGCATACCCTTCGTAACATCTCTCTGCCTCCAAAAAAACAACTTTATTTTAAATGTTTAACCTGAGTTTATTATTTACCACTACTAATTGAAAATTATTTTGCATATCCATTAAATGTTTTTGCAAATGAACAACTTTTTGTGAGTTATTTGTACTCAACTGGGACCTTGTTTTCTAAAACAAAGGCCATAGTGCTTAAAATACTGACTGAACGTAGCACATAGTTTATATTTAATAACAACAGAAACATACTTAAAATCGAACATCATCAGATAATAGAGTTGGGATAGATTTTAAACCTCATTGACTCAACCCTATAATTTCACGAGTGGAAAACCCAGAGAAGCAAAATGGGGAAAGTTGGGAACAGAGTTGATATTAACAGTGAATTTCCCCTCTTCACACACACATGCACTGTAGCACTGTCCTCCCGTTGTTCATCGATTTGCTCGAGCGGGCACCACCAGTAATGACTCACAACAAATTGTGAGACTTGTTGTTACTATTTTTGGCATAACGAATACATCATGGGTAGCATGCCAGGCTTTGCTGTGCGGGCGAGATACTCTCAGTAGCTTGCCGGGCTCTCCGAGAGGGGCAGAGAAATTGAACCCCGGGTGGCCCGTGTGCAAGGCAAATGCCCTACCTGCTGTGCTATCGCTCCAGCCCTCACACACATACACCAGACAAATAAACAAAGAATTTAAATGTGTCGATGGTTTTCCCTCATCTACATAGGCCCACCTGGACTTGTCACAATATCAAAAATGCTAAGTTCAATGACACCATTTGTACACGTCATATAAACTATCAAACAAGTAACCTACAAATATTAGCACAAATTTTGTCTTCAGAGCTGATGGTGTTTATGCTTAGAAAGTAAAGAAATTTGTTCAGGGAAGTGCTTAAAGGAACAAAAAAAAAAGTGATGGCAGAGAAAACTCTGCTTCTTTTGCAAACTCTTGCTTGCGTCACATCTCCATTGACAGGGCCTTCAATTCTGTCAGTTGTGTCCTTAAGCTTACTGGTGTCTCTTTCCCCTATGGTCTTTATCCTGAAGCTAGCCTCCTGGCAAGAGGAAAAGTCTGGGGGCAAAGCAGGAGAAAAGTATTGTAGAGACTTCATTCTAGCCTTCAAGTGCTATCTGAAATACTATTGCTTCATATATGATTGCTTTTGGAGGGACTAGATACCAATATTTCCCTTTTAATCTTAACCTGATATTCCTGTTAAGGTATCTGGATATTAATCTCGACCCACTCGCCCTCTTTTTAAGAGGACATTATAATTAGTGTGTTATATTAGATGACAGAGTAAGTTTGGTGTTTGTGCACTTGGCAGGACAATTTATCACCTTGACTAAACAACAACAACAACAACAAAAAAATAACAACAATAACAACAACAAAAACTACAAACCTCATACAAGGAGAGAATTGAAAAAAACTAGTTGTTCCGATTCTTCATCTGTTTTTGTTTCTCTTGCTCTACCACAGGAAGGCATTTTATTTTATCAACCGGGTAGTAATAGATGATGAATAAAATGACAATTATCTATATAATTTAAAACACGCCCCCCCATTAAGTACATTTTGCATGTTTCTCAAAATGCTGAGCAGTCTCATACAGAAGTACTTAATAGATACTTTAAAAAAATGAGTCCATGAATTAATGACTGAATAGCCCCCCAAATATATAGAAGCTTATTACAAAGTGTTTTTGTTTGTTTGTAATTCACATTGTCCAAAACAACTGACTTCATTCTCTACCTCCTTTTTCTAACACAGTCATGGTCTAAGTGAAACAATCCCTTTTCTGTAGAGCTCTTTAGGCATGCCTGATTTGTATTCTCCAATTAAATTGTAGCCACAAATCTCCACATGAACTCTGGGTAGATCAAGCAGTAGCTGAGGGACATTCTGCCAAGAAAACCCGGCTAAAGTTTCAAAATTCCAGTGCTCTAGTTCTAGTTGTGACACCAACTGGTTATGTGACCTCAAACAAGTTTCTTAACATGCTCATGCCTCAAAGTAGACATCTTTTAAATGGCAGTGGGGGATCCTGATACCTGCAGTACCTACTTCATCAGCATGCTGCAAAGTTCAAATAAGATAATAAATGTAGCAATGCTTTGAACTGTTCGAAGCTCTGTAAATATAAGGTATTATTATAAGCAGAAGTATTTAAAATCAATTACCCAGTTCAAGGGACTTTACCCTAAACAACCTGTTTTACTACTTATTGTTTCAGAAAGCAAACAGGTTTATCTCTCTCCTTGTGTACATAAGTGAGCATGCACGCATATGCATACACATACACACACACATGTGTGTTTGTGTGTGTGGGGGGGGGGTTGGGTAACAAACCTAGGGCCTTGCACATGCAGAGCAAGTGCCCCATCCCCAATCCCTTCTGCTGCTCCCTTCTTAACTACCTCCCAGGGTTGAGGCTTTCCTCTTGTGCTAGGAAATCAATATAAGAAATATATATCGGCAATCTGAAGAGCTAAGAATTTATCCAGAAAGTCTTCTTCATTCCCTCCCCATAACTTACCTTCTGAAAGTTCTCAGACAGAAAAGTAAACTCAGAGTAGTGCAGCGGCCTTTTCAAACTACTTGATGTCATGCATTTAATCAGTGGGGTTAGATAAGCCATTCATTTGAAACTTGGCTATGTTACATACATTCTGATCACCCTTTAATCCAAGCCTCTCTGAAAAGTACTTGGGGAGTAGAGCAGGAAGGACTGATGAAACTCATGCTAATGAGTTCTTAGTTCCCCAAGGAAACGTAATCAGGGCAATTCTCAAGGATTCATCAACTTATTTTATTAGCACTATGTGACCTATATGGTTTATTTTAAAGGAATTACCTCAGCTAAATAGCTGCTTGTCAGGCCTTTAAACAACTGTTTAAGTAATCAGACATGATAAAATTCTGAAATACCACTCTCAACGTCTTCCTCTTTTTTTCTCCTTCAAAGTATTTATTCTCATTTATTCCTTTTCCATGTAATAATCCTTTTAAAGTTATGACTTAATAAATAGCTGCAAAAATGCAAACAACTAATAAATAACTGCTGTGAATAATATAATCTAACAGAGTATCTTATAGATAAGATATAAAACTTCATAGGTAGGCCATAAAAATTCATACAAAATCAGGAATCCAAGGGGTCTGTGTCCACATTCTGTTTGTGGGAGACCCAGGTTTTATCCCTGGTATCACATGATGCTGGAGTATTGCTGAATATGGTCTTAGAGGCCCCTGAGTACTGCTGGGGTGGCCCTGGTGGTCTCTGGCACTGCAGGACCTAAGTAGTACCGCATCCTCAGTCCCTGGCACTGACATGCTGGCCGAGTTGCCAACTTACAGCAAAAGACCTTAGAACCCCTAAGTATCACTTGGGGGACACCCAAACTAAAAGAAAAAGAAATTGGTTCCAAAGAGACCTGTCCTGGAATTAGAATTGTGTGTGTGTGTGTGTGTGTGTGTGTATGTGTGTGTGCGCATGCACATGAACATGTATGTGTGCGTGTGTGTTGGAGGTGGGAAACATACTGAGAAGTGCTTCTGGTTCTATGCTCAGGGATCAGGCCTGGCGGGACTTGGGGGGACCATATGAGGTACTGGGGATCCAACCCTGGTTGACCATACGCCCGCCCTGCCTGCTGCACTATGGCTCTTGCCTGCGGGTGATATAAATTTATGCAAGAAACTTAAACTTCCCTGAATCCTGGTATCCTCATGTGTTAGATAATGCCTGTTTGATCCTGTTTTTATGAAGATTTGATAGCATAATAAGTGAAAAACTTCTATCTGACACATAGCAAAAATTGAGTATATGTTCATTCCGTTCTTTTCTTTTTCCAAAAATGAGTATCCAGGCATATTCTTTTTGTCTAGTGCCCTTAGTGTACTTGGAAAAGGAATATAAACTTGTATTTCAAAAACAGTTAATATTTTCAGTTCTTATAGTGGGCCAGTATCAGCTGCTTTAATATACATTATTTTGTTTCATACCTACACTAATCCTTAAGTTTAGTAACTGTTATTTCATCTTATAGATGAAGGAACAAAGGCTTAGAAGAGTAAGTAATTTGCCCAGATTCTCAAAGAAAAGATTTAGCAAGCCTGGGATTTAAAGCCAGGTTTTCTGACTCCAGAGACTGTTCATTGTGCTCTATGTTTTGTATCTTCTCTAAGAGCTTAGATTCCAACTTAAAACTAGTGTCTTGGAAATAATAAGCACCTCAAAATGGAGTCTATAAACATACCACAAATATAGACAAACTAATGCCATCATTACTTACTTTAAAAAATTTTCTAGTTGCCTATAAAAGAGTGAAACATAGTAAGTATTCAAAAGTATAGAATAAATAGAATGCAGAGCTTTCACCAGCATACTGTTTAAGCCTATGACATCTCTGAATCCAAGTTTTAAATGAAAATCTGTATTAATAATTTCAGATCAGTATATATTCTAACAATGCAAGTCACTACATTTCAAATCTATAGGTTTTTATATTAATAGCAAAGAAATAGCTCTTGGCCAGTTACTATGAACATGAACTAGAAACCTATCTGGTAGTGGGAAGATTATTCTGAAAGATTTTTCTGAGACAGAACCTATGCCCTAAATATCTGACTGGAAAATAAAACACTAACTTACAAAAAATATTGATTGCAAACCCACCACAATGAGATAATATATATTAAGCTTTGAGAAAATGATAAACATTCAAAAAATGTCTTATCAATAATACTTTCTGTTTTAATAATTATGGTTTTTACAATAAGACGCCAACATTTAGTTAGTGGCTATATGATTATCATCGTGCTTGGTGTTTTACATATGTTGTATTGAATCATTTAGTCCTAATAAGTTAGTATTAGTAACCAAACAAACTACAGCTCAGAGAAGTTAAACTTGCCCAAGGTACACATTTGATAAGTATGCCAGAAGTTAAATAACTTTGAGTCCAAAAATGAGTAAAGGAAGAGAGAGGTCAATTGCTACTGGAGAAAAGAGGAATGCTGTCTGAGAAGGAAAAGCAAAATTGTGGTAAAGATAGCAGAGGGATTTTAGTGACAGAAGTTAAGAGACTAAGTGTGTGAGTTTTCTGAAACAGGACCCAGAATTTTGCTTAGGGTCATGCTCACTATGTTATTTGTCTTTATTTTGTGGTCACACTTAGTGGTGCTCAGGGCTTGCTTCTGACTCTGAGCTCAGGAATTACTCCTGGTGGATACAGGGTGCTGGGAATTGAACCCTGGATGGCTGCATGCAAGGCAAGCACCCTACCCACTGCACTATCACTCCAGCCCCACCATGCTTATTATGAATGTATTGCCTAGGTCCCTTCATTTATAAGAAAAAGGAAAAGCATGAGGTATGTCAGTTGCACGACAAGTGACCCTATTTGCCTGAAATGAGAAGGGCAGAATCAGAATACCTCTAGTTCCTCAGTCCATAACCCAAAAAACTCAGACTTTGCTTACTGTTCACTGACAATCTATTTAAGTAGTCCCTTTACCATTTACTTTCCATGAATTCACTTATTTTTTAGCTCATTGTGATACTATTTATTAAATTTCCCATATATGCCAGCTACTCTTACTGATATCAGGATTGAGTGATGAATAAAACATTAAAAACCTTGTTTTTATGAAGAATTTTATTATATGGAAAACAGATGTTAATATGTAAACAAATTGATTGGGGGAAAAAAGCTTGCTTCAGATTCTAAACACAATGAAGAAAACAAAACAAACTGTTGGCAACAACAAAGTTAGGAGGTGGTACAAAGCTGGCAGATGAAGAAGAAGACTCTGAAAAGGTAACTTGCAGGCTGAGACCCAAGTCATCTATAGTTGCCAGCTATCAGAAAAGTTCAAAGATCATTGAACAGGAACAAGTTTAGTCTGTCTGTGGGTCAACAAGAAGGTCATGAACACTATAAGCAAGAGATAGAAAGGCACCATATTTGGTCAGATTTCTGGGCAGGGGTTAGATAATTGTTGGTCTCATAGATTATGGTAAGAGTTTAACTTTGGAGGTTTTAAGCAAAGGTAGGAATAATAGCCTCTTATTTATGTTTTCTGAATTTTACTCTGGCTGCTCTGTGTAGAATAAGTTCTAGCAATACGTGATGCCTGACAGAGAAGTCAGTTTAGGAGTCATTACCTGCATCACATGCAGCCAACCTGCTGTGAATCTCCACCACAGCATAGGGTTTCCAGAGCACCACCATGACTGAGCCCTGAGTACAGAGCCAGGAGTAAGCCCTGAGAACTACTAGTTGTGGCACACAAACAAATAAAACAAACAGAAAAATCAATAAAGTTATCGACACAAGAAAATTGGGTCTTGTCAGCATGGTGCAAAGATGAAGAAAAGTGAATAGGTGGGGTCTATGCTGGGAATGGAGCTGGCATGATGACTGATAGAGTGTACCCAGGGAATGGGATAAGGGAAAGAAGGAAGGGGAGTAATCAATTCAGGATAGTCTCCATGTCTTTGCCCTGAGGGTCTTGATAAATGGGGAGATGGACTTGTTTTATTATCTGAAGCAGATTTCATAGAATTAACATGACAGACAAAAAGTGACCACATCAGTTTGGTCATGTTAAGATTGAGATCACCCTCTTTTCTTTCTCTTCAGAGTGTTTTATTTGACATTATCTTACTAATTTGAGTTGTTATTTTGGAGGAGGCTTTTCCATCACTAATTTAAAAGCTACAAAAGAGTAAGAATCAGAAATCCTGCTCAGGAGACCCTCTCCTTCCTGAGAACTTTTTTCTTTCTTTCCCCCATTTCTTGAATAAAATCTTGTCTGAGTTAAAAAAAAAATAGCAAGGACCTTGTTTGTCTTGTTCATTATTGTTTCTTTAGAGTCTAGATCATTGGTGCACATTTCATTATCTTATTTTTTAATTAACAAGAACAAAGATATTTTTGATGTGCTAAACTAACCTGTGGAGGTAAATTAGTAGCATGGCTTATTTAGCCATTGCTGTCAGTCACCTTCAGCATAGTTAAAAAAAAGTCTAGAATACATACTGACTGGGACAAGGCTTATGTTCAATACATGTCAGGATTTGTTGAATCTGGTTCAGTGGTTCTTAAATTTAAGTGTACCAGGTATTAAGTTCCTAGGTATTAAAACCACCTGGGCATGGACAAAGATATAAATCAGGGGTAGAGCACTTACCTTGTATATGACACAATTAAAATAGTAAAACCACTTTGGTAACTTATTAAAATTTTAGAATTAGCCTCTACACTAACCATCCCTTCTAAACTTGTTCATTATTGCTTCCTTAGAGTCTAGATCACTGGTACACACTTCATTATCTTATTTTTCAAATAACAAGAACAAAGATATTTCTGATGTGCTAAAGTAATTTACCTCCACAGGCTTATAGATGTAAATTTATAGCATGGCTTATTTAGCCATTGCTGTCAATCACCTTCAGAATAATAAAAAAATAAATAAAAGGAGTGTAGAATACTCACAGAGACAGGGCGTATTCCCTTCTAAGACTCTGTTTTATTATAGTAGGTCTGCAGTTACATTCAAGAAACTCCATATTTAGGGAGGGATACTGGGATCCGTGGTGGTGGATTATGGGCATTGGTGGAGGGATGGGTACTTAATCATTGTATAATTGAAACCCAAGCACAAAAATTTGTAAGTCTACAACTGTCCCTCTTGGTTTGTCACTAATAAAAATTTAAAAAAAATAAATCTTACAAAGTGATAGATGGAAAATAAATAAATAAATAAAAAGAAACTCCATATTTAGACAGTACCGTATATGGGAAGTTCTCTACAGAATAAACCAGTTGTTTATATACACAAATGTTCTTTCATTTAAATATTTACCTTAGAAATCACAGTTCAGCACCATCTCAACAGACCACAAGGTATGGCTTTAAGAACTCAGTGGTAATCTCAAATGCAGTCAAGCTATAAGGTGTGGAAGAAAACTGTGAAAAGAGTACAGCAGTAACTAACTACAATACAATTTGATTAATGTGGTATTATTGCAGGCCAGGACAAGATCTCTGAGATGGCTCTTACATATGAGCAATAGTGACTACCAAAGTTCTTGAACAGTCCTTCCACACACTTCCAAATAATAAAATCCTATCTATTTATAGTTGTATTAAAATCCATTTGGAGACGTTACTGAGCCCGCTCGAGCAAATCGACGATCAACGGGAGGGCCTTTACCTTTACCTTTACCTTGTAGAACCTTCTTTGATCCCGTTGCTGCATTCTTGGTACTCAATTCTTTCTCTAAACAAGGAAGTTTGCCATAACAAGGACCAACCAAATGCTGTCTTTAAACCATTTGAATCTTAATCAGATGATCCAAAGATTTGAGAAGACGTTGAGGGGAAGGTCCCTGAGGAGAATGTGATTAGAAGTTTCTGCAAAGGATTCACAGAAATAATTTTACCCCTGTTCTTTCTAAAATCCATTTCTACTTTTCTTTGATTCAATGGGCCATGAACCTTATTCTTCTAATACATGTCCATTTCATTTAAGTTAATTAGTGGTCTCAGTTGTTTGCAGTATAATGTATGGCACAGTTAGTAGAAACCTTGCAATCTATAATTAAAGGAAAACCTTTCAAAACAAATTCTTCCTGAGCACAGTAACCCATTGATCTAAGTTTTCAATAATTCTAAATGTCTGAGAGCAGTGCTTGGACAACATACTCCATCAGGCAGAGGAGGGTGAAAGGGTTCCATGAATGATAGCAGTTCTACCACTGAGGCAGAAAATTCAAAGGTGGCTTGGACATGACACATAAATTCCACTTCAAAAATTTACCCTGTATTTACGATGAGATAAATTATTCACTTTAAAATCTCAACACTTAGTTATTACTTTATACTCAGCTCCTGAATTTCTATCTTCAGACTAAACTTTCAGGGAAGCCTTTTCAAAGCAGGGCATAATTACTGGGACACATAAACCTAAGACATCAATTTATGAACATGAGAACTCATAGTATTAAATTTAGTTCTCATTTCCTTCTATGGCCCCTAGGGGAAAAAAGAGAACATTCTGTTCATTTAATCATTTGGGTTAAATTTGAGTCTTCTACTGACCTCTTCTATCCCCCCATATGAAACAAAGATCTATAACTGTAAGACTCTTCAGGAAATTAATGACTTTACTCATGGTTTCTGAGCAAGACAAGCTTCTCACCAACTCATTTATGATGATTACCCAAGTGAAGTTAGAACAGATAGGATGCTGAACAAAGCCAATAGTATGCTGAGTGCGAACTACACCCAGGAAGAGATAAGGAGCATGTTAGAAGCAATAAAGTAATCTAATCACTTGCAGATTATATGCAGTATAAATGTAGACCTAATGTAAGAATCAGTTTGGTTAATTTCCTCATTTTTATTTTAATAGTGGTCACTATTTGTGAACCCCCCCAAAATAAGATATAAATCTATGCAGTGTCTTCACTTTCAACTGAATGTTTAAAGTAGGTAAAGATAACCTTTCAGTATCTGTACTGCAAAACATAATGCCCAAAGAAAAGAGAGAGAGAGAGAGAGAGAGAGAGAGAGAAAGAGAAAGAGAGAAGAAAAGTGCCTTCCTTAGAAGAGGTGGGGTGAGGGTGGGAGGGAAACTGGGGACATTGGTGGTAGGAAATATACACTGGTGAAGGGATGGTGTTGGAATATCATATGACTGAAACCCAATCATGAGTAACTTTGTAACTGTGTTTCTAACTGATTCATTTTCCCCCCCAATTTTTAAAAAATAAAAGGCCCTCCCGTTGATCGTCGATTTGCTCGAGCGGGCCCAGTAACGTCTCCATTGGAGACTTTGTTGTTACTGTGTCGGGCATATCGAATACTCTCGGTAGCTTGCCGGGCTCTCCGAGAGGGGCGGAGGAATCGAACTCGGGTCGGCAATGTTGGCCGCTTGTAAGGCGAATGCCCTACCTGCTGTGCTATCACTCCAGCCCTAATTTTTAAAAAAGAAGACTTAAAAAGAAAAACTTCCTGAACAAAGCTATCAAAATAAAGAGGTTTTCTGGAAACTAAATTGCTTGGTTGTTAATTGTGAGCTAAACTAAGCATTTGTGGCTGCCTTGACAAAAACTTACCTAACTTAAATTTTACATTAAGTTACAGTAGTAAGAATTTCCAGATCTAATCTAAGTCATGTTTCCAAATACATCAACTTGTCTTTTAAATTTCCTTGAAGGTTATATAGTTTGTCACAGTGAATTTAGGCTGGTAGAATGGGTGCCAATCTCTCTCAGTCAAGTGGTTTCTCTATTTGATAGATAACTTTTACTTTTTTGCTGGAAGGTAATGGAGAGGTCAGTCTGAAACCTGTGTCTAGGAACTATCTAGGTAAGGAATGCAAGTGACACAGACATGAAACAGTTTATTCTCAGATATTCAAGGGCTCTTCAAAATGTTCTGATCCAGTCTCAGTAAGTTTATTCATGACACATGCCTCCGTCCAGAAGTTGTCAGTTTCTTGAAAATCCAGTTTAGTCTTTTTCTTTTCCATGAAATGGGATATAGAACAAATAAACCCTGACTGCTTATCTAATGATTGCAAGAGTTTTACAAGTTGTACCTCTGGTTGGGCTTGGGTTTTATATTTTGAGGGATTATACCAGCCTCCCGCATTTCTTACTCTACATAAATAACATGAAATTTTTCATTACCGGATCAGGAATCCAAGGCATTACAAAAATGTTGAATGACACCAAATTATCTTGCCCTTTGTGCTTTTCATCTTAGGAGACAAGAAAGGAAAACAAATGTATCTACTCCCTGCCCCTAATCACGTATTTGTTGTGGGTATCAAGATGGAACCTAGGTTAGCCAAAGCCACAAACAATTGAGCAAAACCAGTACGTGAAATGCTAGAAAGATTGCAGCCTTGGAAGTAGGTGCTACCAAGCAGAAAGGTTAGTTGAAGAGTCACTGTGATTCTTGGGTTCTGAGATAGTTTGCTGTGAACCAGAGCACGTTATTTCATGATTCTGAACTTCTGTTTCCCTATCTGTTAACTAAGTGTGGGAGACAAATTTTACATTTTAGATTTAAAAGAGGACTCAATGGTCATTTGATTCAATCTCCAATTCACTGTCAGGATTGTATCCTTAGCATTTCCAGCATCCTGTCATGGAGAAACTCTTATCTGCTTCTCTTCTGTACACTGAGTTATATTCAACTTCTTGGGGGCATTTGTTTATTGCCTCAGTTCCCTCATCTATATAAAAGAGAATTTGCATCTACACTGCAAATTTGTTGGGATAATTAGGTATAATTTATGAAATGTCTTCACATAGAGGGTGTTTAATGAGATGGTTATTAGTATTTTTCATAGAATACAATAAAAATCAACATTTATAAAAGACAAAGAAGTTTATGGGATGATCTCATGTCCTTCTGAATTTTTTTTAACTTTCTCCCCTTATTTTAATCTCAAATATGAACTTCCATCTACTCCTTGTGCTTATCTCCCAGTAAATCTACATATTCATTATTTCTTATACAGTTAGGACAAAAGAAGGAAGGTGGGTATAAATTTCATAAAGTTGGAAGGGAGATTTATAATTAGGAAAAATGTCCACAGAGTATGAAATCATCACTACCGGAAAGCATGAATAACTCTTGAGTTCTGTTATAGAGAAATCAGTTGCTTCTAAAATAAAAGATAGCCCAGGTAGGGGGTAACTGTGCAGTGTGGACAAATAGCCTTAACAATTGAGTGAAAGGAGTTCTGCGTAACAAAAGTGAGACAATCCAGAACTAGGATCTCACAGTCAGTTGGAAGCTCATGGAAAGTTTTTGGAGGGTGGGGGAGGGGAGAAAGGTGTTGTTTGGGCCACACCCAGCATTGCTCGGGGCCTACTTCCAACTCTGTGCTGCAGGGACAATACAATGCTGGGGATGGAAACAGGTGGGCTGCTTGCAAGGCAGGTGCCTTAATCCTTGTACTCTGACCCAGAAAGTTTTAAGAATTGGAGCTTAA